CTTATGTGGTGTTGAGGAATCGAACCCAGGGCCTCTGGCATGCAAGGCAAGCACTCTACCACTGAGCCACCTTCCCAGCCCTGTGCACGAGACCTTTTTAAGAATCTCATGGGCCCACCACTCCAGATGGCACAGATTTGTAGGGTGACACAAAGGGAGGCAGGAAGTGTAGGGCCTTGTGCACTTTAGCCTCTGGGCAGGTTCTAGGCCACACTCTAGCCAGTCCTCTTCCCAAGCTGATAGGTCTGTCCTAAGGTCTTGGAACTCACCTGGCCAGCTTCCTAAGCTCATTGTTAATATCCTGATTGAGGGGCTGCTCCTTCTGAGCTCGAACCAGAAAGTCCCGAGCCTGTTGGTACTCAGTCAAGAGGAGACAAGCCTGTCATGAAAGAAGGCCTTCAGAGGCTGGGGAGACAGCGGCTTGGCAGTGGCTGGGCTGAGCACCACTGCTCGCTGCCTGGGCATGGATCCTACAGCTCACCTGTCCACACCTGAAGAGGGCCTTGGCATTCCTTTGGTCAATGATCAGAGCCTGCTGTCCAAAGCGCAAGGCAGCCGCTGGGCGGTCTAACTTCAGATACACAAGGGACAGATTAAGGAGAACAAGAAGCTTGGCGGCCTCCACCAGGTGCTGCTCCTCAGGGGGAGCTAGTCGCCGATGGAGAAGCAGCAAAGCCTGAGGAGAAGGAGGGAGAGCAGAGGCCCCATTAATGGCTCCATGCATATATAAAACACACTCATATGTCACACACACATTGAAAAAACAACTGTTAAGGGAAGCATCCAATTCAGCAGCTGGGCAATGAGGTGCACACCTATGATGCAGAGACCGAGGTAGGAAGATCACAGGTTCCACACCAGCCTTAATCACATGGCCAGGCCCTACCGCAAAAGAAACCAACTTTACTCAGACTGCAGACCATAATACATAAAAGTCATGAAACTTCTGACGTCAAAGGGCATGCAAACCCCATGTCTGCTTGAGTGAGACAAACAACAGTCATCCTGTACTCTCTCCTAACTCTAAAGGAAAAAGTCTGACTGGACTCCAACTGAGCAGAGGGCAGGAGGAAATAAAAAACCCATGTGTGGGAGTGGAGTGGGTGGCAGTGTGACAAGCCCTTGAGCAACTCAGAGCCTGACACGGGAAGGGAATGGACAGAGAATAAGAGCCAGGAAGGCCTGAGGAGCAGGAGGGAAGGCAGAGGCCCCAAGTAACCATTCCATACATATATAAAACACATACAAATCTATTAAAGGAAGACACTAAAGAGTAAGGCCCCAGTTCAATCCTCACTCCTACCCAACAAAAAATATGTAAAGGTACAGGCAGTCTACCACTTTGAGCCAAAGCTCCACTTCTGGTTTTCTGGTGATTAATTAGAGATAAGAGTCTCACAGACTTTCCTGCCTGGACTGGGACTTTCCTGCCTGGACTGGTTTTGAACCATGATCCTCAGATCTCAGCTTCCTTATTAGGATTACAGGCATTTTAAGATTCTGTTTTCCTTTTGAAGTAAGAATCTCCCTGTGCACTGCTAGCTGGTCTGGAATTCTTTTTTTTTTTGGGTCTGGTCGTGGGGCCTGAACTCTGGGCCTGGGCGCTGTCCCTCAGCTCTTCAGCTCAAGGCTAGCGCTCTACCCCTTGAGCCACAGTGCCACTTCCAGCTTTTTTCTTTTTGCTTATGTGGTGCTGAGGAATCGAACCCAGGGCCTTGAGCATGCAAGGCAAGCGCTCTACCACTGAGCCACCTTCCCAGCCCCCAGTTTCACACTTTAAAACTCGGTAATTTAATGAAGTTGAGTGAAAGAAGACAGGCACAAAAAGCGAACATTGCACAATTCTATTTACAAGAAATTCAAGCCAGGCACTGGTGGCGCACACCTGTAATTCTAGCTACTAGGAAGCTAAGATCTGAAGATCATGGTTCAAAGCCAGCCTGGGCAGGAAAGTCTGTGAGACTCTTATCTCCAATTAACCACCAGAAAACTGGAAGTGGTGCTGTGAGTCAAGTGGTAGAGTGCTAGCCTTGAGCTGAAGAGCGGAGGGACAGCGTCCAGGCTGAGTTCAAGCCCTATGACCAACAACAACAAAAGAAGAAGAGGAAGAAGGAGGAGAAGGAGAAGGTAGAGGAGAAGGGGGGGAAGGAAGAGAAAAGAAAAGGAAAAGGAAAAATTCAAAACCAGGTTCCATGAATCCGATTCAGGATGGGGCTATCTCAGAGGCATGGACTCTGGGGAGACACAAGGGTTGCAACTAGATCTTGGAGTGGGGATGAATGCCCATGGGAGATGTATAGCACATGCTGTGGTCCTTACTTGTGCATATGTTGAGCTAGCCCTCAATTGATTTAAAATAGCTTCAGAGCCGGGCATTGGTGGTTCATGCCTATAATCCTAGCTACTCAGGAGGCTGAGATCTGAGGGTCAGGGTTCAAAGCTAGCCTGGGCAGGAAAGTCTGTGAGACTTTTATCTCTAATAAACCACCAGAAAACCAGAAGTGGCACTGTGGCTCCAAGTGGTAGAGTGCTTGCCTGGAGCTGAAGAGCTGAGGGACAGTGCCCAAGTCAGAGTTCAAGCCCCACGACTGACCAAAAAAAAAAAAGCTTCAGGATTCTAGATCAAATCCAGAAATCAGTGTCAGAGCACATGTCTGCTCCCTTTTGGAGCCAGAAGTGTAGAGACTACACTCAGTCTGCTCCACCCCCATCCAGGCCAAGGCCACCACGTGATGCTGAGCTTATCAGAGGGGGCCAGTCCCGTGACATGACCTAGTTCCCACCTGACACTGGGTGACCTTGGGGGACACAGGTGTTATTGGGAAAGGGGAGGAGGGGTGGGTGGAGAGAGGCAGTGGAGCAGGTGGAACTGTGGTCTCTGGTTTGCTTCCCCACTGGGGGAAGGAAGTCTGATCAGATCTGGACAGCCAGGCCGGTTTGAAGTCCTAGTGGGAATCTCTTTGGGAAACCAGGTAATATGGATGTTGGGGGTCCTTCTCTGGTCTGCTGCTGGCTTCAGCCTGGGGCTTCTCTCCTCTCTAACACCTAGTTTCCGTAGAGAAGCAGAGACCTTCTGTTCCAGGCCCAGCAACAGTGACCTGGGACAGAACTCTGCTTTAGAATTGCCTGGGGGGGTGCCTGTTTATATTAAAGATTTCTGGGTCTCATTGGAAACCCCACTCCATAACAGAATCCCCGAGGGTGGGAGGCAGGAAACTGTAGGATAGCTGAAAGTTGCAAAACTGATCTAGAGACTGTGAAGGAACTTGACTCGTGTTTGCAATGCTGGTCAAAGTTCAAATATCTGCTCTGCTCGAGCCTGCATTTTTGGGATCCTTCATATGACCTGAATATGGCCCTTTCTGTGTTTACTCCAAATCTGGGCAAAAGACAGAATCAAGCAGGGTACAGTGAGTCATACCTATAATCCCAGTTATGAAGAAGACATAGGTAGGAAGATGGAAGTCCTAGACAAAGAAAACCACTTTTGAGACCCTATCTGAAAAGTATAGCAAAAGGGTTGAGGGTATAGAGCCCTTTTTTGAGGCCTGGATTCAAACACTACCACTGGAAAAGAAAAAAAAGTAGTGCCAGGCTATGGTGGCTCAGATCTATAATCTTAGCTACTCAGGTGGCTGAGATCTGAGGATCACAATTCGAAATCAGCCTTGGAAGAAAAGTCCATGAGGGCTGGGAAGGTGGCTCAGTGGTAGAGCGCTTGCCTTGCATGCATGAGGCCCTGGGTTCGATTCCTCAGCACCACATAAGCAAAAAGAAAAAAG